GTGTTCGCACTTTTTGTCACTCACTTTCAACTCGAGACCCAGAAAAGCTAGAAAGCTGAAACTTTGAGGATATGTGCCCGTACCATGCGCAACCCCTCCCCCCCTTTTAATTTCATTCCCCTCAGACGCCTGGGTGCCGCGTACGGACTCTTTAAAAAAATATGCAAATTTTTTGGGGGAAAAGCGATCTCGGAAACCACATGAGCTAGGGGGCTGAAACTTTGTAAGGATATTTATTCCCTGTGTATGTACTAGCTAAAGATTTCAAATTCAACCACCAGGTATGCGTGGTACTCATGTAAGAGCATATGAAAGCTTTAAGGGGAAATTGCTAACTCGGGTACCAGGAAAGCTAGAAAGTTGAAATTTTGGAGGAATGTTCCCTATCCAACTACAATTCAAATATTTCAAACTCAGCTACAAACCATGCATGGTACTCACATAAAGGCGTATGAAAGTTTCTGCAGAAAAATTACTAACTCGACAACCAGAAAAGCTGGGAGACTGAAATTTAAGGTGGATATTCCCTGTCCACGGGCAATTTAAAAATTTCAAATTCAGCTTTCCAAGCACGCGGAGTACCCAAGTACGAGTATGTGAAGGTTTTGGCGGGAAAACTGCTAACTGGATAACCAGAAAAGTTGGAAAGCTGAAATTCTGAGGGAATGTTCCCTGTCCAAGTACAACACAAATATTTCAAATTCGGCTCCAAGCTATGCGTGGTGCTCACGTAAGGGCGTACGAAAGTTTCCGCGGGAAAATTTTAATTCGGGAATCAGAAAAGTTAGAAAGTTGAACTTTCAGAGGGAAGTTTCCTGTCCAAGTACAACTTAAGTATTTCGAATTCAGCCTTGAGTTATACATGGAAAATACATAGCGCAATCAAAGCAACCATAGGCGGACCCAGCACAGACTCCTGCGGGGGAGGGACAACGGCTGTGAGAGGGAAGTGGGGCTACTGAGGGGAGCCGCGACGGAGGGTGACGAGAGCAGTCCCTTTCACCTTAGAATTATACAGAAACTAGGAATAAAGCTGTAACACTGCTACTCAGAGTTACTTTGGGCTTTGGTTTACTTTAGATCCGGCCTTTTACAGTACTGTTATCTGTACTGCTGGTGGAGGAGGAGGCAGAGGGGGGTGGAAGACCTATCGCCCTCCTCACTCCTGAATCCGCTTATGAAAACGGCTAACGCCCTTTTCATGCCATGCGGCGGAAGTTGATGTTATCGGAAGTCTTGAACTTTTTTTCTTGCATCCCATTTCCATCTGAGATGTGTAAAAAATTGTATTGCTCATTATCTACACAAAGAAAGCTTTTAAAAAAAAGGCAAAATTATTATCTTTTTCAATACAGTCATTTGCTTGCTGCGCCGATATCTCGGGATTTCATTCAACTATCGATATATAGCACTATAAACAGTACTGAAGCTGCAGCTGAAACATACATAAGTATTTATTCCAGAAAGCAGAACTCAATGAAACAGGCTACTCAGCGCTCAATACATCTCAAATGCAAATGCTGTATGGGGCACAGTCGCCATATCACCATCCCGCTACACTTAATCGCTTGGCCAACATCACTGAAAAGCGATTACTTCATGAGCTTCTTCTCAAGGATATTCGACTGATTGCAAATGCAACCGAATACGGCGTCCTGAAGCACTCAGCTACCGGCCGCTCCAAAAGACAAATCGTTTTGGCGCCGATCGTTCTTTCCGCGATCGTATTGGCTCCAGCTACAACATCACAGCCTATCATTCTCTCCCCTCTGGTCCTCTCACCCGTCATTTTGTCGCCAGCCGTACTCGGGCCCTTCATCCTCAGTCCTTGGGTTTTCATACCCTTGATCCTTTCACCTCGTGTCCTTGCACCCTTCATTGTGAATCCATTCATCGGCTCACCGGTTGTACTTTCACCGCTAGTGCTTCACCCGTTCATCCTAGCGCCCGGCGTGATGAATCCGGTGGTGCTGAGTCCACTGGTGCTCACGCCATTTATACTGTCACCACAAGTGATGACTCCTCTGGTCTTAACACCAATGGTACTCAATCCACTGATTCTCACTCCGATGGCTTTGTCGCCGTTGGTGCTGAGTCCGTTCGTTCTGTCTCCGCTCATTCTTTCGCCGCAGTACTTTTTCGCTCTAGTACTTAGTCCATATCTTCTGTCGCCGCTGATTGCAAGCAATCTAACAGTCAGTGCAATCGTACTGTCACCCAGTTTCCTCAGTAAGTGACTAGGTTCAGTGCGAAGCTTTTTAGGTGCTATCGTTTTTGATGCATCCCCGTACACTTTGTTGTCAATGGAGAATTGTTGTTTGTTGAGTTAATGATGGCTATGTTTGGCTATCGTATCGAAATTCTGCAAAAGTGAAGAAATAATCAGCCAGATCCCAAAGGCAGGATGAGTTTAGTCGAAATCTGCTAGTACGGCATTGCACTGTACTGGCGAGAAGTCAGTCGCGCTCGAATCAAGTTCTCTCCTCACAATGCAACACTACCGTACCAGCAGTTAGCCAACGCCCCACTCCCACTAAACGCATAATGATCAGAACTTGCCAGCTTGTACGTACATGTTAATCTGTAAAGCAACGAATTTTCATAATGTTAA